CCCGAGGACGTACCTGTTGACAAAACTTTAGATCTAGCAACTCCGAAATACATGGACTACAGGTTTTCACAAAACAAACATTGTTATGAGTCTTAGAATAGTCGAAAACCAGCAGTCCATGTATTTGGGAGTTTCCAGACCTGAAGTTTTGTTGAGAGGAAGGTCCTCTGGAAAACCCTATAGCGCTAATATGTTGAGCTAAGTGCGGTAGTTTGTACCACCGTCTTCGAATTCAAAATTCATCTTTTTTCGGGATGGTGATAGCTTGGGTTTTCACTCTACAGATGCACCGTAGTATACATCCTGGTATTTCCTAGTTCGATGAGCCCCAGTGTCCCCTACAGAATGTTGAAAACCGCTTGTTTCTATCCCTTTTCGTGTAAAAATTATTCAACAAATATTCGTATAATCCGGGGACAAAAGGTATAAAGTGCACGATTTGTTGTGTTTGTCGTGCTGAATTGGATACCTCAAAGAAAAGTTTAAAAATGTCTTGCTATTATATTTTGCGTGTGTGCAACTATATGTAGGTTTTGTGTATAAACAATTGTGATTCTGAGAGTTTCTCATGTGTGTAATTAGTCAGGTGGTTATCACTGAAAAAAGTGAACAAAATAGAAAACTATTCAGTTTATATATTCCGTAACAATTCATATATCAATAAGTGGGGTGATAAATATATAACTCATTATCATCTAATACTTGCTAAAGATCATCAATACTGGTTGCCAATAATCCTTTTCGAGCATTTGATTTCCTATTCATCCACAATTGTTCCAGTGTACAATATAATTTTATCAATAATAATGTACGATATTGATCTATCGTTCCAAAAACACCCTGTTGTAATTGTGCTTGTTGATCATCATTAACTTCTTCTCCTTCTTTTGTTAATAATTGTGTTCCAGTATTAATCACCTCATTTAATACATCACGCTCATGTGTTGTTGTTGTTTTTCGAAACGTTTCACGTTGTTGTCTTACTTCATAATCTAACCATGTTCGATTTTCTGATGGCCATCTTACTTCTTCATGTTCTGGCAAGGGTGATGTAATTATCATTCTTATTGGTGTTATGGTCGATGTATGCTGGGCGTAAATTATTTGGTGGTATTGTTGATGGAATGAATGTGCAATACTTTGACCGATTCACTTTGACGTTATTGTTTTCCACTACTCAATATTTTTGTTGTATTTCTTTCGTAATTTTCTGTCATGAAGTAATTTTTTCCTTACTCGTAATATACCATGCTAATACTTCTTTACGTAAAAATGTTGGAATCCATTGTAATTTTCCATGATCTGGACAATCTGCCAATCGGAATTGCATAGTAGCATTCTTCACTCAATTCGAAATATTTACATCACTTCTACCAAAAAGACGTGGCGTTTGTTCCTGCAACGTTTCCAGAGTAAATATGCTATAACTTGGTCATTTATTGTATCATCCATGTTTCCTGCTGATAAAGTTGTCTCAGGTTGTATCACAGTGGTGTTGTCTTGACAGTAATCCGGCTAGTGCACCGACTGTTATGTTCTCAAATATAAACTGGATAGTTTTCTCTTTTGTTCACTTTATTCAGTAACAATCATCTAACTAATTACACACATGAGAAACTCGCAAAAGCACAGCTATTTATACACAAAACCTACATAAGTTGAACACACGAAAAACATATGGAAAGAAGATTAATGAGGTCAGTAGTACAGAATATAACATGACGTAAGAAGAATAGAAAATAACATGATGTATAGTACTGACCAAGACATATAACGTCAGGAGAGGATAAAAGTCACTATTCTAAACATATGATCTTCTTATGCCTTTATGACATAACATCAGCAATTCAAAAACATCCAAAGAATGTTGCCCTCACTGCACCATACAGAAAAGGCTTTTCGAAAACTCGGGCCAACACCCAGAAATGATGACTCATCGCTGATTATATGAAACGCGCGGTGAAGAATGTGACTGACGTCACCTGCAGCATGTACACTAACTCAAATATCGAAGCAAAGCTAAAGTCTCACTACACATTCCACTTCACTACACGGAAATATTTCGATTTTACTGGTATCGGAGCATGTTGCACCATTCTCATTTTTGATCTTGAGCTATTTATGAAACTCTGTAGGAGACATTCCATGGAATCAACCAGAAGCTATTGAATACCTTTAAATGAATCAATTATCTAACGATTTACCTTTATTTGTTTGAAACGGTTCTTGGTGCATCCAAAACTCTCTGTTATCCTTGAATGGTTCTATAAGGAGAAATAATAGCATTACAAATCATTTTAATTATTTATAAGAAATTTACCTGAGCTATTATTCTCATTATTAATTGATCCCATCTGTCAGCAACAAAAGTAAAATTATTGTTAATCGTAGTTTAAAGGTTAGAAATACAACAAGTTTTTCTATATCCGTTACATAAAATTTCAGTGAATTCTATTACAATTTTAAGACTTTCTCTTGGTTGAACAGCTGTCTGACACTTGAACTGGAGTATTCAGTTCATCTCTTTTTAGCCGATGTAATTGCTGTTTGTTACACATAACTTTACCTTGTATGGATTTGGGAAGAATATCAAATAGTAGTCAATTAAATTCAGTAACGCATAACACTACAGTGACTTATTATTGTTCGTTACATAATGTAGACGAAAACAATAAGTGACTACTATTTATGAGTGTAGCACTTATCACACATTATTTTGAAAATGATGAAATAACACATGAGGGCTCGTCCCTATGAGATGAGAAATCAAAAGAAAACATTGATACCACCTTTATTTACTGAAGAAGATAAACTAAACGTTTACTTTAATAAAATAGAACATGGATATTTCTATTTACTTTTTCAGATAAATGGTAAGTAACCTTGGAAAAGTGTTGTAAAACGGTGATTAAGAGTCATCCTCGGAATATCTCCCTTTGTAAAGAAATGTTGGATCTACGTATTGGCTGAAACGAAAAACGTTTACACTTAATTCTGACACAAATATGAACAACCAAGAATACCATAGGTATAGACGATAATCAACTGTTCTTGACTCTTCAACACGCCTTTCCAGAGTTGCAACCTCTGTAAACGGTTCTCTTTCTTCATTCAGGTTTCTTTTCCGTTTTCGCTAACATGAACAGAAAGAAGAATTCATCGACTGCTGTTTTCTCTTCGTCCGCTTTAGCGAAAAGGAAAGAAATCGGTATACCGATTTCAGGTCCTCTTCTCTCTTTTACGATTTACGCTTTTGTTGGATACAAACAGATGGATCAAACGTTTCGCTACAAAATGAGATGAATCTTAATAACCGCGTGATAATAATTATCCTCAATACCCTGATACCAATTATGTAATGTAGTATATACCTCTATGTCAGGTCGTTGTAGATTACTTAACCATTTCGTTTGTGTCACCAGTCTCAGTTAAAGTAGTGTTTTTCTGGCTTTTCAGAGAAAGAGAATTTTCTCTGCTCTCTTTGGCTTTGTGATCACCTGTCCGGCTTTCAAATCAGAAACAAGAATAGATGCAAAAGGAGTTTTGCGTCATTCGAACCAATAATATTTTCTCTATGTTTTGATTGTAAAATAGTTGCTATTACTATATGGTCTGACCAATCTGTATTGATCACAAAAAGATGCATTTACCTTTTTTTCTAATATTATTCTAATATGAGGCGTTATAGTGCTCTGAATAGTTAACAGTTTAACAGAAAGGTGAATTAGGTTTACTGTATAACTCTCTGAATAACTCCATAACTAGCACTGCTACCCGTGAGACATTGATAGGGCCTTCTTTCCACTTGTTGATGATATACTAGAGATTATCTTCACCTAATGGATATATTTTGCATTCAATCTTTAAACCAAAAAAACGATGAAAATAACCTAAAATGAATAAAAGTAACTATATCATGTGAAAACGTTACGGACCGGGCTATCACACTATACTAACATGCAACATTCAAACAAACACAAGAGAGCGCAAAAACGGTTTGCAATCATTTTGTCCTTGATGGAAAGTATCAAAAAGATCAACAACAGGTTCGATAGAGAATTTTATTGCACATTTAACCATATGTAGTTTTCGGTTTGAAACTATAATTGTTCTTCAAAATATAATTTTTTAAAAAGTTTGACCACTTACTGGCGTGGGATGAAAAAAGCTTTTTAACTCGGTAACGAAGTGTAGCGAAGATATGGTTTATACCGGATTTTGTAGAGTGGAAAACGCGCTATAAACTTGCGGTAAAGGAATTAGGTTATTGTTTGAGAAAAAAGTATTTTTCGAGCAAAATTTGAAATTTTTATTTTTCATATTCTTCACAGCAGGTCGATGAAACACAATACCACTTTCAAACTTTGTCAAAAATTGCCTGATACTTAACACTATCTAGCAACACGATTTGAGTTCTCAAGATCGGCTGCATTAATAAGAAAAAAATTCAGCACTGAAAAAGCTTCGTACAATTCAACGTAGGCCATTCACTTTGAGAAAGTTCTCTTAATCCTCCAGATTAAGACTAAGACCCATAATAAGCTGACACAACTAGAGTAGAATAAGATAAACATTTTATATAAAGTCGCCATTATCGTCTGTTCAAGAGTATGATAGTCACTATAATGGCCGCAAGAAAACAATACAGGTAGGGCACTTTTCTGCCTACATTTCTTTTGCTTGAGATGTCTCTGTTATGACAGAAAAGTAACTAACATTATCTAATAATCGTAATAAATATTGACTTATATTATCTTTCTATTTAAACAGAAGAACTGGTAACATTTTCTTTGAGAAAACTGCTGACACTCTACAAATATATATTCCCTACGTAATTTTGTTTAATTATAAAAGAAACGAAAAGAAACGAATTATAAAAAGAAACGAAAATGTGGATTCAATTTTTTTTCATAATATTAACAACATTCATTCCATCGTCGGTAATAACATTACAATGCTATCAATGCAATAAACAAATACTTTCTGAACCTGTGACTACAATGGAAAGTATTCCATTCGTACCAGGTGGATGTACAACAACAGTAATAGATGCTCAAGTTTGTCGGTTTACTCTTGTCAAATATATTTCGCCTGATAATTACAGTACAATTGAGGTTAACGGAATTGATAGCAATGACAGTTATAGCATAAATCAGAATTCATCATTAGAATTAGTTTCGATTGTTGGTATGTATCAGGATGCTGATGGAAATACGGACAGTATCGAACGATTTCGTTACACTTATGATTGTTTAACAGATAAATGTAATGATGTTGAAAACTTACTCCAACCAATGATTCGTGCAACTAAACATGGTCATCAATGGTCACCAAATAAAATTATTGAACTTGTATATAATTATCCAGTACCAGGTACTCTGTTTTCGTGTATGTGGAGTGGTGATAATTCATTGAAGTATTGTAAAAGCGCCGGTGTGTTAACTACAGGCGGCTGTTATTATTGTATATACAGTCTATTTCCTGAGATTTTAACAGAAGATGACCGAATATTGTGCAGAACTCATTGTGAACATCAACAGAGCGAATTGTCATTAGGTACTCCCACAGTGATAAATAAAGAAATAGTTGATTTTGAAAATCTTCGACAATACGCGTTTTTTCTTTCAATTGAATGCAATAGGGATCAGTGTAATAGTGAGGACAATTATGGAGAGATACAATATTTATCTCGTATTTACTTTGATATACAACAATTTTTAAATGCTTTCAAACCAACAACGACGACAACGATAACGATAAATATCAATAATAATTCATCTGCTATTAGTACAAAACAACTGAAAAGATGGTGGTGGTTATTTGTAATTGTGATCATGATCGTACACAGTTATTAAAGAAAACATTTGATTCTTTGTTTAAGGTGAGAAATTTTATAATAAAAATCAAGAATAAAACCACCTTTTTCATGCTGAAATAACTATTTCAAAATGAGACGTTGCATCTTTATTCGAAAGACATCATCAGTCAACTGATGTATAACGTGTTTGGACAAACGTATAAGAATACGATCAATGCGAACAGAGTAGTGTATGACTGTTGTGGATATTCTAATAGTTATACTGGGCAGACGGCGAGAGGAGAGAAGAGAAGAAAAGAAAAAAGAACATCAGCAAGCATTTTATGGGCAAGGTTTCTCAAGGATTGTCATTCACGGGTTGATCTTTACATTTTGTTTTTATTTATGACCGTCGTAGCCGTTGGATACACGACCGTATACAGTCGTAGATTCTTCCTTAAACAACTATGGTGAAGAAGGAGAAAAATTCGAAGTTATTCTAAGTGTGAAAATATTCGCACTTATATTTAGACAAGAGTATAAAACTAAACAATGATTCAAGAGTTTCCAAGATCTTCGTAAAGAAGTCAAGAAATTACAAGATGTTCAAGATCTTTACTTCTTGAAATTTCTTGAATTCTTATATCTTCTTACCAAGATCTTACTGAAAAAATTCAAGAAGTCAAGATCTTGGTTACAAGAAGTTTCACTAGAGAAGCAAAAAAAGCTTTTTTGGAGCTAGCCTAATCTAGGTAAAACATTTACCTAGCTTCCTTTCCATCTAGGTTAAGCTAGGACCAAAAACGTTTATCTTGCATGAGGTATGATTATGTTGAAAACATTTAAGCATTTCAGCTATATTCTAGCAACATTTTCTTTGATCATCAATATTGAAAATTTCCTCCTTTACCATAAATTATAAAAAAGATAAATTTTATTCAGTAACGCATAACACTACAGTGACTTATTATTGTTCGTTACATAATGTAGACGAAAACAATAAGTGACTACTATTTATGAGTGTAGCACTTATCACACATTATTTTGAAAATGATGAAATAACACATGAGGGCTCGTCCCTATGAGATGAGAAATCAAAAGAAAACATTGATACCACCTTTATTTACTGAAGAAGATAAACTAAACGTTTACTTTAATAAAATNGATGGATCAAACGTTTCGCTACAAAATGAGATGAATCTTAATAACCGCGTGATAATAATTATCCTCAATACCCTGATACCAATTATGTAATGTAGTATATACCTCTATGTCAGGTCGTTGTAGATTAAAATTGATCTCATTCAAAAAACTATTACCAAACAGGACACTCAGAAATAGTTCAACATTAAATAAACATGAAACATCAGTACATGTTTTACACTAGAATATGTGTTCATTATTGTTAATGAAATTAATCAGTCTATCAAACAGAAAAATAAAAGAAGCAATATATTCAACAATAAATCATTTGATTAATCACTAAAACGATATTAAGAAATCATGGATGAGAAAACTTAATAAATAATGCTGAATTTCGTAATCTTGGTGCCGCCTATAAATAGTAATCATCTTTTACTGATGAGTTGATTTTCTATTTCCTAGTTGTTATGGGATGAGTCATTTTTTGATATTTTGATATATAATTTTTTGATATAATTTGTAAAGTAAGAGAATGTATATTTTATATTATTATTTATTACATTATTACGTATTACATTTTATATATATATCTATAAAATGTAAGTGAATTATCTATGATGTCTGTTCAGATAGTTTTTCTCATATGAACGACAAAAGAAGAATTGTTTTCTATCAACTAGGCTTTTTTTATAGGCATTTCATCAGTTTTTTTAATCGCTTTTCTACGGATCAAATGAGTATACAGACTCGTTCATACATTATTTATTGCTCTTATTTTTATCCATGTGTTAGTTTAGTGTTCGTACGATTCAGCACCCTCTCTTTAACGAAAACAACTAATCATTTCATGAGAAAGTATGAATTAGAACTACGGAAGTAATAAAAAAGTCAAAGTAGAGAGATACGCCCAAAAATTCACAGTTTATGGGCGTATCTCTTCACTTTGACTTTTTATAACAGCAATAAATAATGTATGAAAGGGTGTGTGAAGTGGGTAGAATATATATACGTATTCAAATTAAACGCATTGGCTGAAATGCAATCTATCAATCGGGTTTTTATTTATAGGCATTTCGCTTTTTCCGCAATTCGTAATAATGCGCTTTCGATTGTATAAATTGCATTTCAGTGGAATGCATTCATAGATAATTCACTTACATTCTCCTATAAGCCAGCAGTGTATCGGCAAGTGGTTCCCTGAGCATTCGATAAAGAAAAATATAAGTCTTCAAGTCAAAATTTCAATTTTGCAGTTTAATTACAAATCCGAAAAACTTCACTTATTTTAAAACTCAAATATCTCAGCTCAGATAAAAGATGAAGACTTGATTCAAACGGCGTTTAAGAGCGCTTGGAAAACTAAACAAACCTGGGGTTTTGCGAAAATTGCAGTTCAAACTGCACATTGAAGGATTTTTTCATAACCCTTTGTGAGAGCGGTGCTGTAAATTTGAAACTGCTATAAAATCTTGACTTTTTAAGATGAAAACTTAATTTAAACACCAGTCGAACGGCGACGTCGAGGTGCTTATGTCCATATGATTTCATCGTTCTAGAATGAACCTGCAGTTCACAGAGAATTTTTTACCATTTCTTGATCTTTTTCGAGCGGAAAAAATTCGAGTTTCTGTTTTTCACAGCTATTGCTCTGCGGTATGTCTTTCTAGAGAGAAGTCCTTCACATCGACCTCCCGAACAACTCTGACTCTGCAATTTTGTAGTAGAATGTTTTCTTGAACTGAAATATGGAAAAACTTCTTTCGCCACAAGAAAAACGGCTAGAAAAGTTAGAAAATTTTCTGTGAAGTACAGATGTATTCTAGAACGAGAAAATTATATGGATGTATGCATCTTGACGTGCTCTATCGACTGACACTCGAATGAAGGCTCTATCTTGAAAACTAAAGGTTTTATAGCACTTTCAAATTTAGAGGTCGGCTTTCAAAAAGAGTGTTGGAAAATCTCTCACTACAAAGGGTCTGTCAGGAAATTATCAACCCCCATGTTTGTTTAGTTTTCGATTGCCTATCTGACCACGTTTGAACCAAGTCTTTATCTATTACCTGTGCTCAGTTACTTCAAGTTTACATAAAGTGGAGTTTTTCAAATTTCAAATTAAATTGAAAAATTCAGATTTTGAGTTGGAGACTTGATTTTTCCTTCAAAATGTTCGCCTTTCAACGCTGAATGTAAATATGTTATTTAAAATATTTCATCCATTAACGCTGATTTTTAAAACCCTTTTAATGCAACTACTATAGGTCAAAAACCACGGTTTTCTAGAAGTCCTACTTTCGACGGTTTTGGAAAAAGTTTTTAGAGACAAAAAGAAAGAGGACCTCTAAACACTGAGTTTCATTGGATTTGGTCCTGTAGTTCCGAAGATAGCCTAGACCGACTTTCTCGTGTAACACGCCTATTGTCTTCAAAGAGCTGATCTTATATACTCGATCGGAACCGTCTAGATCGTCTTATTTGTAAAAAATTGGAACTTTCCAAAAATATCTGGAATGTTCTGACCAATGCATGATGGTGTCATCTACTTTTGTCAGAATAGACGGCGCCAGTAAAAGTGAGACCGTGAATGCATAGAAAAATAACACAAGTTTTACTCAAACTTGAATACAGATGTAAGACAACTGTTCAAGTCTGTCAGATCTCTTGTGTCTTTTATTGACAGTAAAACCCAGTGGCGCTCATCTTTATAATTAATTGTAGAAGGAGATGATAAACAGTGAAATCAGAAGCTGCATATTCAAAAATTAATTTTATACCCTTAGTGATGTTCTTCTCTTTAGCAGAGTCATTATGTATATCATACTATATTTCTATAATACGTCCCACCGCCCGTCAAAGGGTTAGCAATAGGTAGAAAGTTTTAGACCTTCTGCAGAAATTCCGCTTTTCCACTAGATTCCTACTATTCCTACTACGTATTTTTGCCGACGGTTTGAAAGATGAATACTTTTTGATAGGGAAAAAGGAGAGAATATTACTGTTTGTAGGCACTGTAAAGTGAGAAGTTTTATTTTCTCATACAAACAGTAATGTTGCCTGGCTTCCTATCAAAAAGTAATCTTCTTTGAAATCGTGCGCAAAATTTTGTAGTAGCGGAAAAAGCGGAATTTCTGCAAGTATTTTAATATGTTGTGGGCACTGTTCCCTGTTAACGATATGAACAATCGTGAATATCCTTGGCGTAAGATTGCTGTGCTGTTATTGACTCATATATTATATTACTTTGTTTGGGTTCAAGTGGTATTATTTTGGATTGGAATTATTTATTCGTTGGAATTCGAGTGATTATCAGTTTACAGGTAACATAAACAAGAACTGTGTGTTTTTGTTTTCCT